CTTCATTGGACATAGTTTCCGGCAACTTGTCCTTCCCAAATGGCACCTTCTTTAGACATTGCTGGGTTAGCAGGGCCTGCATCTTGATGTGCCAAAGACTGAAGCTAATTTTGCCATCAAATTTCTCAATCTCGTATCTGGTCGACATCTCAAAAAACTCCCCAAAAAAAAAAAATCTCGGGGAATAGTACTGTATCTATGAACAGTATCTGTATACAATACACGAACCCGAGCTCTGATACCAGTTTGTAATGAAAATAAGGATCGAATAGGAGTTTATGAGAACAAAAGAAAAATAAATGACAAGAAAATAAAAATAGTGCACACTCAAACGAGACAAGAATTTATGTGGTTCGGCTGTGCCTACATCTACAGGGAGAAAACAGAACAATATTTCACTATAAAAATATAGAGATACAAGGTTAAGTGGTTCACACCCAAAACAAAACCCCATTACACATAAGACTCTCACACACTTTGCTTTGCTTGATATTGAACAAAACACACTCAAATTTTGGATGCCTTAAAACCAAGAGGAGTCAAGGCTATTTATAGCCAAAATGGGTTATCAATGAATGCTTGTAAAAGCTTGCTTCAACTTGGTGCCCAAGAAAAATTCCTTCAACTTGGTGCCCAAGAAAAATGCTTGGTGACCAAGTATAATGCTTGGTGAATACACAACTTGGCTGCCAAGCATAATGATGTCATGGGTGATGTTTGAACCACAATATTCAACTAAGTGTTTTGATGGAGGGAATTGATGAAAGGGTTTGAAACAGTGCATATGTGAATGGGTGGACTGGTTTTCTTGTTTTGTTTGTGATCTTGAGGTTTAAGACGAAGCGGGGGTAAAATTTCTCCAAAACCCTAAAAGAAACCCTAAAATTTCTCCCATAAGACTTTAAAAAACCCTAAAATTACTCACCAAAGGAAAGGACAATGAAAACATGTGTAGATGAAGAAAACAAAAATTAGGCATTGAGATGCATGTTGAACAGATCGAAGAAATAGAAAACATGTGTAGAACGTATGAATAAGAGTTTGAATTTGACAAAAACCATCAATATATATATCCAATAGAGAAGTTAAGAAAGAAAAAATAAATATAGAATCATCTATCATCTCATACATACTAACGTATAAACAATTACATATATAAACACATAGATCGAGAGAGAAAAGTATATAACCTGCAAGCTGATCAGGGCTGTAATGGTAAAGGTTGAGTTCATGTCTTCCAACTTCTGATTCTTGACTTTCTTCTCTAAGTAATGAATGATAAGCTCTTCATCACGGGGACAAAACCTAAAACCAAGCGGAAGAGAATCAAAGTATTTCTGAATCTTGATGATGCTGCTGTGCCCATTAATATTAGCTACTGATTCCTGTTCTTGTTGTTGCTGATTCATTCTTCAAATTCACGCTACTCTCTATCTCTCTGGAATTTGATTAGACTGAATGAAACGTTTTCCTTAATCCTCTGTGTGTGTGTGTACATATACATACATATATATATATATAGATATCAGGGAGAGTTAATTGAAGAGATGAGATTAGTTTTAGTGGGAGTAAATGTATTTCGGTAAAATAAACCTGAACCTGAATATTAATGACCAATTGTGTTGACAAAGTGCATTGTCAAATTTACCCAAAATATTGATGAGATGCATATTCCTAAAGGGACTCTCTCACTCCTAGCTAATAATTATAGTCAATTGTCTAATTCAATAATTTTTAATTGGCTATTTATACTAAATACAACTGAAAACTTCATTTTCTTATTTGTTATATAATTAACCAATTAAAAAAATAGGTGTAGCAATTCATTTCAACTATTACAAATGCCAGTTTGGTTTGTAATTTGGAAAACGACAAAAAAATTTGCTTAGTTCAGTTTTCTATAAACTTAGTTATAAAAAAGTTTATTTTTAAATAATTGTCTTTTATAATTCTCTAAAAATAATTTTTTATTTTTTAAATTCTTAAAAATTATTTTCAAAATTACAAACTAACTAAACCCAAAATTTCTCCCCCCTCTTTCCATGTTCAGGTCTCCTCTAACCACACCCAAACTCCCATGCCCTCATATGTCTGATGACACCCAATGTTAACGTTGTTGATGCTATGGAATAATAGGGCACTCTGTTGAATAAATTTGTGGTGGTGGTTGTGGTGGTGGGCCTATGGTTTGTGATTGAGAGGAGGGAGGGAAAATGGTTTTGGTGAGAAGATTAAAGTGGCATTGGCTGTTGGTTTTTTTTTTTTTTTTTTTTTTTTCCGTCAAACCCATGAATTTGTTCTCAATAATATACTGAATTCTTGTTCCTAAAATGAATAAAGAAAAAGAAAAAATTGAAAATGGTAATTCTTGTTCCTAAAATGAAAATTTTGAGGTTTGAGAAGAGATACTAGGTTAGTTTTGGGTTTTGAAAATATGTTGACACTTGGTTTGCACATGACACTTGGTTTGAGGAAGAAGTTGGAATCTTTGTAACTTAAAATTACAAAAATAATTTTAGGTTAATTGTATGTTGGAGGGTGTTGATATATATATATATATAGATAGAAAATATACAGACACTTGGTTTGCACATGACACTTGGTTTGAGGAAGAAGTTGGAATCTTTGTAACTTAAAATTACAAAAATAATTTTAGGTTAATTGTATGTTGGAGGGTGTTGATATATATATATATATATATATATATATATATATATCAACAATCAACATCCTTTATTTAATTCTCTACACATTTATTCTTCGCAGCACACTAAAATTTTAAATTTTATTCTATTTTATTCTCGCCGCAATTATATTTCACTCACCAAAATTTAAAAGCAAAACTTAAAGGCATTAAGGACTAGATTCCATGATAATAGGGGTCATACTTTATCAAAATTTTAATTTTCTATTCAATCTATTCTATTTTTTTTATATGAAGAAATTATTCCATAATTCCTCATTCATCTTTATGAATATGGATGAAATACAGTATTTCATTATTGCTCACTAATAATAGTGGAATCATTGGCGCAGGGTCAAAAAGGAATTTTCACCCAAACCAATTGATTAATCAATTCAATAAATGTGATGAAAATTGGGTAGAAGAACAAATGTGTTAAGAATCAGATTTAAGGGCATTGAATTGAAGAATAAATGTGATGATAATAAGATTTAAGGTCATTTAGTAGAAAAATAAATGGCTGAAAATCAAATTTAACTGCGTTGAATTAAAGAATAGATATGTTGAGAAAGAATCAAATTTAAGAGCGTTGAATTAAACAATAAATATGGTAAGAACCAGATTTAAGTGCGTTGAGGTAACAAATAAATGTGGTGAGAGCAAAATTTAATGGCTATGAGATTTAGATTCTTGAATTGAAGAATAAATAGACTGATGATAACATGATGTAAAGATGTTGAGTTGAAGAAAAATTTTTGTAAGAATAAGATTTAAGGACATTGAAACGAAAAACAAATGTAGCAAGAACCAAATTTGAGGACTATAAGGTAAAGAATAAATTAAGTGAAAATGTTTTTTTTTTTCTTTTTTTTTTTTTTTTTTTTTTTTTTCTCAAACTTACAATCAACCTACAATTATTTTTTTAACTTAAGTTGCAAAAATTTAATCTTCTTAATTTTCGGGGTGAAAAAAATAAAAAATAATAATAATAATAATCATCTCTAGTCTCTCTTCTCAAACCAACAATTATCAACCAAATCAATGAATCCATCTATTGTCCATTATCAGTTTTTTTCTTCGTTTTTCAAGAACAAGATCTCCCATTATCAATTTTGCTTTTTTTCTTTTTCGTTTTAGGAACAAGAACTTTAGTATTTTGTTGAGAACAAATTCATGGTCTGACGCCACAAATTCATTCAACGGACTTGTCCTGCTCTACTGCATCAACAACCTTTCAACGAGAAAGACCTTGGGTGTCGTCGGAGAGATGAGGTCGTCGGAAATTGGGTATAGTCAAATAACAGATCAGAGAAAGATTAGAAGAGATTTTGGTTTTTGTTTGAAGTTTGTAGTTTTCGGATTTGCGGTATAACTTTTACCAAAAATATAAAAATTCTACGTAAAATATTTTTTCACAAATATTTTTTTACTTTTTGGTGTTTAGTTGTTGTAAAATATTTATGAAGAAGAAAAAAAAATATTAAAATTTAACAAAAATAAATTATCAACCAATTTTCGGCATGTCATTTTACATGCCCCGTTCGATGGACTTGACCTTAACTTTGATATAGTCCTTTGTAAAATACCGACAAAATAAAAATAAAAGAATATTTTACCTGAAAAATATATATATTTTTCAAAAAATTATTTTAAGTCGAAACAAACTGATGTTGTCAAAAATGAGAATGAAAGAAAAAAAAAAATTTATTTAAGAATATAAATTTTTGGGACAAATATTAAGATTCGATTTTGTATGAGGAGATAATAATAAAAAATAAAAAGACATTAATTTAAAGGATATAAATCTTTTGGGAATTTATTTTAGGATATAAATTCTTTAGACTCGTTATTAAATTTTTATATTGATTAAATTTTAATACTAGTAGGAAATAATTCTAATATACTTATATAAAGAAATTTAAAATTTTGAAACCCTTTCAAATTGGAGGCCTAAGCGACCATCTGTGTCTCCTGAATATAAGCCTGTTAGCTAAAAAAAAAAAATAAAGGACAATGCTTGTATTCAATCTAGGTTGGTTAAACTTATCCTACCTGTTGACGTAACCCAATAGAATTTCAACAGCCGTCCAAATTTTAAAAATGGGTATAACCCATCTATTCGGGCTTAACCTGTTTTTTATTTTTTTTTTGCCTCCTCTCTCTCCAACTCAAGCCCTCCCTCCTGAATAAAAAACGAATTATACCATAAGAAATAATTTATCAAGTAGTCACCATAAGAGATCGAAAAAGGGAGGTCATCCGCATACCTGTGAGCATGAAATTTATTCACACATATCATAACGGCCGCTGGATACGATTTCAAGTACGAAAAAGGTTGTTATTCAAGAATAGCATTTCTTGTGAAATTGTATAAAGCAACATAAAATGCAAACGCAATTTCGTGAATTATTTCAAATGTATGCAAATAGACCTGCTTATTTCAGAAAGCAACACCATGATCCTGATAGTCAGTTTCATTCTTAATATGTAAAGCATGTTCTTTAACAGGTTTTAAGAGTCTTAAGATTTAAGTGGAGACACCTGAAAGCTGCTAAACATTAACTGAGACTAAGCTGAGCAAAATATGGATCTCCATCATTATTTATCCCGGAAAGACCTTCAAATAGCTGAGGAACCGAAAAAGTTCTCCTTCAAGCTTTGAAAAAGTTCTTCTCCTTCAAGCTTTCAACAGTCTCCTTGACGCTCTCCTCTAGAGGGATGAAGTCAATGCCCAAGCTCGTTTTTGCTTTCTCCTTGGACACCTGGTACGTTGGCACAAAGGGCTTGTCATCCTCACACCTGCAAAAGTAAACATAAAGTAAGCAGATGAATGAAATTCGAGCATATATATACAGATTGATCATATTACTAACAAAAGGGCGAACTCAATGTTGAAAATGGTCATTTTGGTTTTCATAACGAAATGGTCAAAGCTCTAGCTAACAAGGATGAGGACGTAAGGTTCGAGACTGAGATTTAGTCAATTTGTGCAAAGAGACTGAGACTGAGACTGAGATTAGGTATCTCTTCAGTCTACCCCTCCCAACACCTCTGGACTAACATTGGTTGGTAATATGAAATTTAAGACAGTTTTCAACTATGAAACTGTATTCAAAAAGCATCTCGAAGACATTCACTCAACTTCATAAATCATAATAGCATCAATATTAGAAGCAAGACCAACTGTTGATATCCTGAACATAGAAACTTTAAAAGAAAGTCTTATAATGTGCTTAAAACTTCTAAATAATATCTTAAAACCGGAAGCAAAACCCTTCCAGAAAAGGATCACAGTTCCCATTGGAAGTGTCAATTGGAATTCACCTTGTGAACTTCATTTAATTAAGTGTTTAATCCTATGATTTTCATGCCATAGCATCCTCTTTCTTTTCCCCGTTCCTTCCTCTCCAACTATAAATTATTTCCTGATCTATTGAAAACTGAAATTAATGGACCAGCATTTCGTGAATGAATTATGGCATCCTCTGTGCAAGTTTTAGTGTTTGTCAGTGCACACCCATGCTTGATCAAAATTTGGAGTATAGGCATGTAGCTATTTTCCCTGGATCAAATGTCAAGACTGACTTGTATATGTCAAAACCTAAACTTTAAACAAGTACACATGAATTTAAAAATAAAATAAAAAAATAAAAAACATTTTAAGTTCGAAAGTAATCTTGATTTGTAAAATTTAATGTTCTTAGATTATAGCAAAAATTCTCAGTTAATGTTAAATAAGAAAAACTAAAAAAACTATGAACCATATATTGCAAAAGAATCTAACAGCAAAGCGCACCAATAAGTTACTATGGGAACTACTCACATTCTATGTTTGGTCTAAGTTTTTGGGTGCTTTTGGTCTTCCATGTGTGTTCTCAGAATCCACAGTAGACTTGTTAGAGACTTGGAAAGGGTGTACAGTGGAGAGCCGAGTCAGAGATGCTTGGAGGGCCACTCCCCTTTGTGTTTGGTGGGTCCTGTGGTGTGAGAGAAATCGCAGATTTTTTAAGGGAGAGGAGTCTCCCATTTGGGCTGTTAAATACGGTATTCTTACTTCTTTATTCTTTTGGATAAAATTCAATGGACTCCCTTCTTTATTCGTTAGTGTCGTCTTGGACAGCTGTTGTCTTCTTTGGGAGCGCTCCCCTTTTGAGCGCCTTTTATAAAATCTTACTCATCAACAAAAAAAAAAAAAAAAAAAAAAATAGAGATCTACTATAAATGAGTTTTTAGGAAATCGAGTCATGTGCTGGCATATTCCTCAGCAAAACATGATTGTAATCGTGTCATAGTGTCATTGAGTTGATCAGAAAACTTCAGATGAAGAAATGACAGACACAAGAAGGGAAAGATGATGCATATTCAATTGCTTGAATAGGTTACAGGTATTGAACACAGATTGACCTTAGGTTGCTTATTTCAGTTATGGGTTGGGATAAAATATGTTTTATGATGCACTCTCACAAATTAGGTTCGTGCATTTACATTCATGGTTCTCAAATTTCAAATTTTTCATAAACTTATTTGGAATCAAAATTATGATTTTATAATGCATGTTTTTGAAAAACGATGTCTAATTTTTTTCTAAAAAGTGTTGACAAACTTCAACGTAGGAATTCTAGAGATTTTTGGATTGATCAAACTAAGTATCGATAGGTCAGTGCACTCATAAAGTAAACAAACCCATGGATAGATCCAAGTGCCGAAACCAATTATGAACAGAATTTCCAAAACAGTGTTTTAGAAGGTTTTAACTACAAAAAACACTTTGGACTCTTTCCTTGTCTATAAACATGAGTTTAGGTCAGACTAAACATCATTCTCAAAAACTCTCTTAGGGTTTTAACATTCATATACATTGGTGAGAGATTTGTGAGAAGATCAAGAGTGGGAATTGGGTTTCACGTATCTTTATACTCATGGGTTTTTATATATTTTTATATATTCAATCTAGGAACCATATAGATTGTGTTTGGATGATTGGATATACTTCTAGGCTGGCTGAGAAATCAATTTGCTATAATCAATTGACAATTCAACAGAGCGAAGACAATGAACGATCAATAGAGAAGCAGGTTCAAAGGCACTGAATATTGTAGACTGAGTAATTGATGACCAGGAAATCTTCAAGGGCAGCACTGGAGATTTGGAATTAGCTGTGTTTAAAGATCAACTAGGAGATCAAGGGTACTAAACTGTGAGTCCGTGACCAACGTTGTACATATCTTTCTCTATAGTGGATTGTTCTCCGTGGTTTTTTTCTCTTGTTAGAGGGTTTTCCACGTAAATCGGTTGCCTCTTATTCTCTCTTTACCTTTATTTGCTTATTGCTCATATTATATTTGTGAATTGGAATTGGATTGATAATCATTATTTTCGTGATCATTAACTAGTAAATTGAGATTAACTTAAAAGAGTTTAAAGAATTGAATAATTGATCAGGACGATCTTGTGCATTTCATATTCGATTGTTATTGTTACTGTACTGTCTCAGTCGAAGCACTCTTCAATTGGTATCAGTCCATATCAATTGTAAAAATCATCAGAAGCTCAACATCTGCACAATTTTTCGGCATTGATATTGTTGTAGTTCAATTCCCAGAAGACCAATTATAGTCATGAATCTTAGTTATATGAAGGATAAGTTATTATTATCAACAGAATAAAAAATATAAGAAGAAAAACGCAAGCAGATACACAGTAAGATATCACATACAAAGAAGGAAGCAATCCAGCTAATGCTTTATTTTGACATAAAAGCTGGATACAGAAATCAGTTTTAGATATGTTAGCAGGCAGTAAGGTGTCAAATACTCCTTGGCTTGAAAACTGCTCAGGAGAAGAAAGGTTGGAGAATCAAGTACTCCTTAACAGTGCACCAAATAAATAAATAAATAAGAGAGAGAGAGAGAGAGAGAGAGAGAGAGAGAGAGAGAGAGAGCTAAATTTGTACTGGGAGTCTACAAATTGCGGGATTTTTAGAAGATTTAATATGGCTTCCAAATTTAAGTATTATGTCGGTCTCAAATTTTAATGCAGAGCAATGCAGAACAAACCAACCTTGGTTTAAAAAATAAAAAGGTCAAAGAGAAGCAAAATAAGTTAGAACTACAACAGCAACCAAACTACAAAGTATATCACCCAACAGATGTATCCCAAGTTAACCCTATTGTTAGTGTAAAATGCATTTGTTTTTATTTATCTTCACAAACAATAAAATTATCTCTTTTTGAAATACGACTGAATATTAAAATCTGGCCTTCCTCGAAAGTTGCATCATCATATCATGTTACTTTGGCTACTCAAAGAAGTAGGATACCGCATGAATACTATAAACAATATGAAAAGATATAAAAGCTGCCATTTCACTTAGCTTCTTACCTCGTTGACTAAATTATATCTGTCTCACATGCCGTAAATCACATATGAAGATGCAACAAATTTGAAGATACAGAAAGGTTCACCATAAAAAAAGTTTAAGGAAATCAGGAAGATCAGAATTAATCCTACAAGACTTAATGTATAGCTGATGTATGAATGAAAATATGTAAAACTTTCTTCTTCTTCTGTTGGACAATTGAGAATCAAATCCCCGAATGCAATCCCTTCCCCCATATAAAAGGAAAAAAAAAAAAAAAAATTAAATAAACTATCAGCATCAGTAATATAATAGTTCAAGCAATAGATTCAGCTATTTGGGTAAAGAGATTTATGCAGACTGCAACATGCATATAGACCCTCGACTTCTAAAGAACCTTACAACTTGTAAATAAAACTTAATAAATCCTAATCGAAGAACTTACTTTTCTGGAAGTTGAAGAGCAGGAAAAAGCCCACGTAGTATCTTCACAATTTCTGAATAGTGTACAACTCTCTCAACCAAACAATACCTTCCACTGGCAGAAGGAACCTCAAATGCTTGAATATGTGCATTGGCAACATCCTTAACATTAACCCATCCAAAAGTAGTATTTGGATAAGTTGGTGATCCTACATTAATTAACGATATGAATAATCAACCCATATATTCCATAGACAAAGAAATCTTAACCTAGTAAGTTGAATATTCTAAGAAATTTAGATGTAAATTTATTACTATTTCAAATATAGATTGCCGTGTAAACAAGTGCTTCAAGTTCCATTGTCAAATATTTCTGACGGAAGCAAATATTAATTAATCTTCAATTCCGTATTACTTATTTTTTTTGTCTCTACATAATGTGTTAAAAATAAATTTTGATTTTGAAACTAGGGGAAAGGTGAAAAAGAAGGGTTGCATAAAGCATTATGGGGAAATGGTCAATTCAACATAAAGATATGTTCCAATTCACATAGATGTCAGCATGATAGGCAACGTCATTTAGAAAAGCCAGTTTTTTTAATTTTAATTACTATTTTACATGTTTCTCTTCCGAGATATTCATTGAGTTGAAACAAAATAAATATCAGTCTTTATGTAAAAGAGTAGATGATAGATATTAAAATGATTGACAAAGAAAACTCGCCATTTATTATGCTTAAAATAGCAGCTGCACTTGTATTCAATGTAGGCTGTAACAGAGGACCAATAACCATCGCCGGATTTATTGTAACCATGTCAATACCCCTCTCTTTCACAAATTTCCAGGCAGCATCTTCAGCTAAAGTCTTTGAAACCACATACCAAAGCTGGCGGAAGCAACAAGAAGAAAGGTGTAAGGAGAGACATTCAACACATTAGAAAAAAAAAATGAAATATCTTCAGTGCAAACTATGAGAAAACAGACAACCTATTACCTGAAAATAGACAGTTCTGACACAACAGATATTGGCTATTGTACAAAATTTCAGACAGCATATATACCTATTTCAGAAAGGGGGAATTAGCAAGAAACAACAATTTCAGTGGGCAAAAGCCATATTGCAACGATGGATGGAAGATTATTTCCGTTCCACGTCCTTTGTCTTCTTCACTTGGTCAGACACTACTACAAGGAGCATTAATCATTATGGTTCAGAACATGAGCTGGAAGATGATACACCACATACTTTGGATGTGGTACTGCAGTAGTAGGCTTATACATATGACAGACAGAATGTGACGGGCATAGTTCAACTGTAAATAAATTGCTCATCACCCAGAGACAACAATGAAAAGTAGTATCATAAAAGTTCTCGTAGTCTAGTAGTTATAAATATTTATTATATTGGTATTAAAAATGAAAAAGCTTTGAACTAAAAGTAACAAAATTTATATTGATCTCTGATTCTCTTGATTGAAAGGCCTCCCATATTATTCTTCTCTTAAAAGATATGCTGAAGAAAAAGTGGGTAAAATTCTTTTGAGTCATTCAATTTCTGGAGTGAAAGTTTCCATTTTCTCTAACCTCAGTCAAATAAGATATTCTAATACTTCTCTAGAAGTCATTAATGGAAGAGACCTGTGGAGGAGTAGGATCAGATGTAGAGCATTAAATTAAAAGCCAAGTGCCCAGATTTGGAGTGGGATGGACATGGTTAGATGGCATTGCTTAGAACACCTTAAAACAGTGTATACAGGTTTTCAAACCTGTTTTACAAGGTTCGGCACTTTATAAGAAAGCCAGCTCAGACATCATGTTCTACACAAACCATTAACCTTCCTTTTCTTTTCAAATCCGGATGGTACTTTGAATTTTCAATTTCCAACATTCAGGCACTAAGGACATGATCCATAACTACCAATTATATATTCAAGCCTTTTAAGATTGAGAGAGAGAAATTGCATAACACACTAAAAAAGTCACATTGATGATTCTGCCGTAGGTAGTCCATGTGCTTATGACATTGGAGGCTTAAACAGAAATAATAAATTGTTGATTTTAGTTTATTTCTCAAGACCGGTTGGCAATAGGTGTTCCACCTTCCCAGAGCTTCTAGTGCTTAATTTCAGTATGAAGAATCTTTTGCTAGAGCAACGCCTAAATTTGAGGAGAAATTTTTCAAATTCTGTCAGTTACTCTCCTTGGTCCTCGAGATTTGTCTTGTGTGATTAGAGATTTTGGACCTCATTAGAGATAGAGATGTTTCACTCTCTTGAAATAACAAGAATCGATTAGGACTTGTTAGCCAATATGACCATCTCATGTTCACTAGTAGAAACTCTGCCTAGATAATTTTGTGTTTGGTAATCTTCGTCCTTTTTTTTTTTTTTTTGTGGATAAGTAATAATTGAAATAAAAAGGCATTCAAGAGGGGAACACATCCCTTATACAAAAGTGGAACCGGGTTTAAGGCCCCAAAGACGCCAAAAAAATAATTAAATCTTCGGAAAAGGAACAGGACTTCCTCTTCACATAACTGAAAAAAGAACGTATGATGTGAAGTTTCAGAATTGCCGCGGACGATTCTTTCCCTTCAAACATTCTACTATTCCTCTCCTTCCAAATACACCACCAAACACAATGTGGTACAACTCTCCAATAATCGCGAACAGCACTACTCACATGGCATCCTCTCCAAATACGAATCAAATCCTTAGGATAACGAGGCATAACCCAACGCATACCAAACAGACAAAAGATAAGATTCCAACAATCCCTCGCCATAGGACAATGCATGAGAATATGAGCAACTGACTCACCATCTTGTTTGCAAAGGCAACACCAGTTAACAAGACAGTTGCCCCTTTTCCTTAGATTATCAATCATCAGGATCTTACCCCATACAGCGGTGCAAATAAAGAATGCCACCCTAGTTGGAGCCATAGAACGCCAGATAGTCTTCCACGGAAAATCAACGATATCAAAATCAGAAAGACATTAAAATAAGGATCGAACTTCGAAGTGACCATGGGAAGAGGAAATACATCTCATGTCATCACAACCTCTGCCAACTGCCTCCTATCGATACAGCAAATCCAGAAAAACACATACCTCGTCCACCTCCCAATCCTGAAAAGATCGTCGAAAGTGCACGTCCCACGTAATCCCACTACTATCAAGCCGATAACAGTTGGCTACGTAGGCATATCTATCAACTGCAATACTATATAATCTGGGAAATAAACAAGATAAAGGCCAGTCTCCACACCAAAGATCCTCCCAAAAGCATACGCATCTACCATCACGAACTTTGAATCTGATATGAGTAGAAAAAAGCATCCCATCCCTTCCGAATGAATTTCCATGCCCCTACTCCTCCCACGAGAGAGACCGGACGAGTAGACCAACCACCACTCTCTTCCCCATATCGGCATGAAACAAGCCTTTGCCAAGGGCGATGTCTTTCCCTCACGTACCTCCACATCCATTTTCCCAAGAGAGCTTGGTTAAAGGGGACCAGTCTTCTGATACCAAGACCACCAAACTTCATTGGCTTGCAGACTTGTTCCCAATTGACAAGGTGATACTTAAATTCTTCTCCTCTTCCACCCCAAAGGAAATCCCTTTGAATTTTTTCAATCATAGCAGCAACAGAGCATGGAATTTGGAACATAGATAAAAAAATATGTGGGAAGGCTCGATAAAGTACTCTTTATAAGCGTAACTTTCCCCCCCTTAGACAAGTATTGCTTTTTCCATCCTGCCAATTTCTTCGCATACCTATCAATCACAGGGTCCCAACTCCCCACCATTCTAGAGGAAACCCCTAAAGGCAAACCCAAATACGGAATTGGAAAAGAACTCACCCTACACCCAAGAACTGCCGCTAAAGATAAGATATCCTGAACATCTCCAACCGGAACAAGCACACTTTAAGCCACATTAACCTTCAAACCAGAGACAGCCTGAAAACAGGCCAAGATGCACCTCAAATATCTAAGCTGAGACACATCAGCATCACATAAAAACCAGGGTGTCATCTGCAAAAAGTAAATGAGAGACCTCCATCTGATGGACAGGATCTCTTCCCACCATAAAGCCTTAATAAGATCAAGATCCTCTGCCCTTCGCATAAGTCTGCTTAATTCCTCCATAACAATAAGAAAAAGGAAAGATGACAGGGGATCTCCTTGTCTTAAACCCCGAGAACACCCTAAGAAACCAGCAAGAGGCCCGTTCACAAGAACAGAGAACTTGACAGACGAGAGGCATGTCTAAATCCATTTCCCTACCCTCTATTTATTTATGCTTTCTCAACTCAATAATAATACTCATTTCCATTACAAAAGAACATTGTAATAACACACTTCGATTGATGATCTTATATATACTACAAAGCTGATACGGTAGACCTTAGACATTTGTTAGTTGTGCAACAATGTCTCCCCGAGGGGATCAATGCAATGATACTTCTAATTCCAATATAAGACCTGGAGGTCCGTGGAGCATAACCACTTAAGCATTTCCTTTAAAAATCAGCATATTTATTATAATCTTGAGCCTCATTAATTAAATAAAATTCATTGCTTTAAGAACTTTGCTTACACTTTCACCAAATTGCATCTTATGCCTATAACAATCTTGTTAAGTGAATACCAGCGGAACTTAACTAATGTAGTTCTCCAGGCACATATGCTTATAAAACTCAAGCAAGACATACCTGAATTTAACCACTCGAGTCTCTTCAGTTGAGGCTCAGCATTCCTGACCATCTAATTTTTTACGCAATTATATTTATTGTTTCTCCATCTTTTCTTACTTCTAATAAATAATAAAGCATATATTTATTAAAAAACAAATCTTTTTGATAAGTCATCAAACAAAAATGATTTCATGAAAATGTGTTCATCAATTACTAGAAATAGAAGAAAATGTGTTCATCAATTACTAGAAATAGAAGCTAACATTATCAAAACATTATACCAAAGGCAACAAAAATTTCAATTTCTTACAAGATAAGGTAATCAACTCAAAATAACATGGATGCACAATGTAGTTTGGGGTTTAAAATTGATTTAGTTTTTTTCACCTTTATTGAGATGTTGGTGGTACAACTCAACCTAACCTAACAAAGCCTTTTTTCTAATTATTTGGGGTTGGCTAAATAATTATTGTTTTGTAATTCCTCTGCTCTAGCTAAGTCATAAACTCAATCAAACATCTTGTTTAGTCATTCCCCTATTTAGCATTTGCATTACCCCTCAATGTGAACCATTTTATTCTTCCAAACTGATTTAGTTATATTAGTCTTCATTGCATAGAATCAAATTATCTTTATCGAATATCTCTATCAGTCTATCTCCAAGGGATGCCTACTTCAACAGTTCCATAAAAAAATTGTTTCTCAGCTACCCAACATTTTGTCCCAAAAGACATAGTTGGTCTAAACTTGTCAAAAAAAATAATAATAAAATAAAAAGCACTCTTCCAATATGTAAATTTAGAGATATTTACCGACCACCTAGGAAGCTCATTCATGCCTAAAAGGGCAAAGAATCTGTGTCGGACACCGACACGCCAAACGTGTCTGAATTTTTTTTTAGAGTAGATTACACTCACAACCCCTCAGGTTAGGTCAAATCTCACATTTTTGAACATTTTGGTTTTAACTTTCAATCATATTTGGAAGAGTTAATCCGTATTTCACTTGCACCCCAAATCATAGTTGTTAAAGGCGCACCTAGGCTCCAAAAAAGCTCCAGGCTCGTCAAGGCTCAGCTAGAGCGCCTCAACCTACTACAGGCCAGGCCCTTCAATCAGGCTCACATAAAGCCCTCAGGCTCACGTTTTTTAGTAGAGGCTCCAGGCTCAAAAAAGACGTGCCTT